GGCCGAAAAGTGCATACGAAAGCGCATTAGAGCGGGACAACGATAGCACGAAACATATGAGGCTTGAGGAGGGGTGGCGGGGTGGTGGCAATAGTGGCAGTAGTATCGGTGGCAGTGAGGATGCACCCACGCCAAAAAAGCCAAACAGCAACAACAACAACAACAAGATGAGCCGAATCGCAACGAGACGAGCCAAGCCGAATGAGGCAATCGAATTTATTTTGCTTCTGCCACAGTGCCACAGCTCTGGGTCTAATTTTTAGCTTCGTCGCCGAACCGACGACAGCAGCAAATACTATGCCAAAGTGACACACAAAAACAGCCTAAAGTACACACACACACACACTCTTGGGCACTCATACTTGGGCCGTATTGATGTTGTCAGTATGTAAATTGCCATATGCGACAAGTTTTAACCCCAGCCCCCTTGCAACTGCCACTGCCTCAGTTCGGTTTCTTTTCATTTTTTGGGGTAGGTTGCGTTTTTAGTTTGTGCAAGGGTTGCTAATGGCTCAGAGCCGGTCGGGAGGGGGGTTCCAGGCGGCAGGTCCTGTCAACGCTGCATGCTTAGAATTGTCCTACTCATCCGTGTGTGCCTCTATGCGCCAGTGTGTGTGTGTGCTGCGTATGTCCTTGCATTTAGTGCAATTCATTTACATTTCAGCGCTGCCACAATTTTCGGGCCCCAGGCACGCAGCAATCGCATGTCCTTCCACGGTTTTCTGAAAAACAAAAACAAACGACAACGCACTGCTCCTGCCACTCCCGCAACTTTTTTGCGATTAAGCCAAACTCATTTCTTAGCCTCACTTTTGGCTTTTCCCCATTTTCCTTTGTTGTCCTCTCGCAACCAATTTGTTGTTGCGGCAGGACATGTGACGCCGGCCGGCTGCTTTTGCCGCCCCCGCCACCCTTAAGGAAAACCAGTTCCTGGTCCTTGTCCCACCCCCAACCCAGTTGGGAGTACGTTGACATTAGACATTACTCAAAATGTTATGCAAAACACGATGGCGTGACGCGGTGAACAGCAACAAAAATAGCCACAATATGTTGAATTTCTAATTAAAGAATTTTTAGGGTTTGTAGGGTTTGTACCTAGGGGCTAACGAATATTAGCGAGGATTAAAAATATTTGGTTAAAGTTGGATAAGTGTTCTTATCCCTAGTTTTTTTCCTCTTGTGGTTAAAGCCTAATTACCTGAGAACGAGGCCATGTGCCCGACACCTTCGAGTACTCATCTAATTCAGAATTTATAAGCTGAAAATTACACTGCGTATACGTAATATTACGTATTCGCCCCCAAGGCTAACGGAAACTTTTTGACATTTGATTACGGCACGCATTACGCCGAAAACCGAAACAAAACGAAAATGTCAAATTATTGTAGCGTTTCTGGTTCTTGTGTCATGTTCTTGGAACTTAAGGGGGGCGGGCTGGGGGATATTCCACAGATTGCATGACTGGAAAAAATAATATATATACTTTGAATGCTCGTTCATCTTTTAATGCAAATGACAACTGCAACCAAGGAGGCGGGGGACACATTTATGTATTACGAGAAGGATACACTTTATGTATTGTCATTACAGTAATTTGCTTATGTAAACGACTTGACAGCAGTCCCCTCCTAGGCTCGTAGGCCCCTCCTAGGCTGCCCCTTGGCCAGGCCGACCGAAATAATATTAAAGGATGGGAATTGAATAAAACTCAATGAGCGGCCGAAGCTGAAAAAACAACAATTTTTTTAATGACTTCTGGCGAATATACCTACAGATGCATCACGTACTGGGGTATGGGTGTGTGTGAGTAAATAAGTGGCATGTATACATAAGGGCTTATCTACTTACACATACCGATGCTCGCTGGCATTCATATGTATGGGTGTATGGGTATGAGCCATATAATGTGGTACATTAATCGATAATTGCATTTTTTCGTATCTTTTTTTTTTTGTGTTTTTTGTTATTGCAGTTGTTGGTGTTCTTGTTGTTGTTGTTTCGCCCATTTCTTTTGCCACTTTTCATGCGTTGCCCGTTTGTCTCTCTCATGGCGCATGCCATTTGCCATTTGCATTTTTGTGACTGTGTGGCAGTGTGTGTAAATGAGTTTCCGTGTTTAATTGCTTGAATTTTTTTCAGTTAGTGTGGGTTTAAGGTGATACTAGCAACTGGCAATCGGCTGCAAAAAAAAAAAAATCAACCCTTCTCAAAATGCATATAAATCATACGCCCCACTGCGCCGGGTCACAATTAGTTTAGCCATTTGGCTTTAATAGCTAACTTTGATTAAACGCACTTTCGTTTTTGTTTTACCGCCTGTTAGTCGGTTGGTTTTAGGGCACCGCACCACAGCGACCCTAAAGCAAACAAACCGACAGTCAGACAGACTAACTGACAGGATGGGCAGACATAAGGCAAGCTGGTACCCCAAACCCCAAAACCAAACCGAACCAAAACTGAAACTGAACCCGATTTCAGCCCACCTGACGTGTCACGTTGCGTTGCCTTGAATGGAAAACTAACACACACACTAATACTGTGCACATGCATCTATTCAGAAACCTACACATTCCAACATTCAGTCATAGGTCATAGGACACCCACCCGTCGTCATCGTCTAAACCAAAGACATACAAACAATTTTTCTTCTGTTTTCCTAGTACAGTGATCGCTGCTTAAGAAATATTAGTTGATTATAATTATTAATTAAAGGGTTGGGCAATCATTTTAAGTCTTTTAGTGAGAACTTTACAGAACTTATTCCTTAAAAATAGATATTTAATTGGAGCTAGTACTGTAGATTCGCGAGGCTAAAAAAAATTGTATTTAGCATACATTCAGGCGCTGCTGGTTGCTTGGCATAATGTGAACGCCAGCAGACAGCAATGATGGCAGCAGCGCCAGAACCTGCTACCTGCAACCTGCAACCTGAAACTTGCATTGAAATCCCGCCTTGCGGCCGTCGACGTCGTCATCTTCATACGCAATGTGTGTCGCCCGACCACATGCACACAACAAACTCACACACACGCACACCCATGCCACACCGTCGAGGAGACAAAAACGGGCAGACATTGCGTGCGTGCTGCGTTGCATTGTGTGTGCATCTGGCAGAAGCAGAAGCAGAAACAGAACAGAACCTGAACCAGTACCAGAACCAGACCATAAACTGAAGAAGCACCAGCCACCCCTTGGCATTTCACATTTTCGCCAGTGCGTAGGGTTTCCTTCACGGCACACGCACTCTGCTACCCCAGCTGGCCGATTGCAATATGTAGTTTGGCTTGTAATGAATAGGAAAACAAGCTAAAACGAGGGGGGAGTGACTAAGCCGCGGCTAATTGATACAGCTCAATGGTGTTCCGATCCGGGCAAGTCGAGCCAATAAAATCGGATGGGAAAAAATGCAATCAGTGTGCCATTGAGTCATTATCGAACTTTAAGAAATCTAGAGAATTTAAATACCTTTAAGATTTAAAAAATAATATATGTATTATTGTCTTCATTAATTTTATAAATTATTTCCTTGACTTCCATTTTTTGTTTCCGTAAAGAGCATATACATTTCGTGCAGATCCTTTCGCCAGTCAGTGCACTGAATTTTTTAACGACAAAATGCAGGCGTGTGTCTGTGGACTGGTTGCATTTTAAAGTCTGAGTTTGGTACGTCCCGTGCGTGCATTCACCTCGTTTTTTTCGCCTTTTTTCGGTGCGTGTGGCAACGGGCGGAAGGTTCCGAGGGCGGTGAGGACGATGGGGGCGACGCTCGCAGTGGCAGAATGGCAACGTTGACGTTGGCGTCGCAACCCCCGAAGCGCTAAAACACGACGATGGCGACCCTGTTTATTTGAGCGCTTAAAAAACTGCAGTTGCAGTTGCTGTTGCAGTTTCGCAGCTGGAAAGCTGGAGGGAAAGCAATGCAATTTTTACACTACGAAAAGTTTGAACATGCCGCTCCACTTTTGCGCCGGAATGAGCAGTTGCAGGTGTAACCCATCCCATTACCCCAGACCCTGGCTGCTCCACTTCAGGCGCAAGTTTCCATTCCCGAACGCATTGCACGCACCGAACGCACGCACTTGTACGCAATCAGGACACAAGGACATGCCAGGATATGAGGTCCGGGTCCAGATCCGGGCCTGGGGCTGTTAGGGCCCCGACTTCCGGTTGCTGAAATAAAAGCCGCTCCTTTTTTTTTACAATTTCGGCAATAAAAATGCAACAAATCGCCGCCCTCTGTCTTCCAAATTAAATTTTGTTTTTAATTTTTTTTGTTGTTTTTTTGCGCCAGCGGGCGTCCTTTAATTCGCATTTCGTGTGAGTTGACGCGTAGCCTTTGCATATGGCAATATGCGAAAAACTTTTGCTTTTGAGCCACGCATGCCTGGCCATTGGAGTGGCGCTGCAGCGGGGTTAGCCGCCACTTTTAGCCATTTCTCCACCGTATTTCAAGTCTTCTGGCCATGCATTTTGCATTAAATTGCACAACTTTTGTATGGCAATTAGACTTTCTGTATGTTCTGGCCAAGACGGATATGCCAGGAAATACAAGCTGTGCCCTTGCATACGAATCTATCAATTTTCCACTCGCACTCGCATTTCTTATTCAATAATTGCGCATACGCAGCGTGTGCCCCATATAAGTACAGAGTGTACGGAATTTAATTTGCTATTTCTTCGACATTTTTTTTCGATTTCTTTTCACAGTCCTCTCGCATATGTATTTATTTAGTTGCAATGCATTTCAATTAAGTAATTTCTGTCTGCTGAAATTCCCAGGCGAAAAGAAAAAGTTCTACGACTTGAGGTTTATTAATTGCCACCACTGGACAAATTATAGTTCATTACGCCATGCAATTGGCATAAAGTTTCCAAAGTGCTTTGGAACTTTTTCTAAATAATTGATGCGTTTTGGCTCTCAGCCCATGCTGTTATTGTAAATATTTTCATTTGTTTCCTTTGGGCCAAGATTATACTAAAACGAACCATTCCCGTTGCAGGCCTAGAACGCGTTGCTGAGGAATTAATGGGTCGCAGGCAATGGAAACATTACCAAGAGCAACATTTGAATATCGACGAGCAACAGCCCACAGTAATAGCCGGTTCCGAGGACGAGCCACCGCAATACAACAGCAACAGCAACAACAACCACAACAGCAAAAACCCAAACCACTGTAAACCAGAAAACCACCGTATAGAGCAGCACACACCCAACGGCAGTCTGCTACTGGAAGAAGATTTTGGTAAGACAATAATGTCCTTTTTCGGACCAAGATCAGTATAAATTAGAATCTTTTAGAGAACAACCAAACATCACACAACTCATCACGTACACCTACGCCGGGAAGCACTGTGACAGCCACAAGTACACCATCACCACCGCCAGAACCCATCGATTGGAGACCGTCGGACAAGTGCAATTTTTGTGTTAACGGTCGCCTGCTAACGGTGAACGCCAAGGGCGAATTGGTGGCCGAATCAGCAGCAGCTGCAGCGGCAGCAAACACAGTTAGTTGTAGCCACATTCATCAGGTGGGTGGTCTCCCAGCCATTTGTCATGCAGCCCTGTTTAACCCTATACCTTTTCCGAGCAGCACGACAGTGACAGCAACTCGAGCGCATCACTGCTCCTCCAAAACAACAGCAACGGCAGCCGAGCTCGCCACATTGCTGCCACAACGGGTACAGATCGAGCGGCAGCAACATCAGCAGCAAATTCTCTAGAATTGTACAAGCTGCTCACCCAGCAGGCTGCCAAAATGACATCGATGGACTCGATGGCCGCCCAGCTGGCGCAGTTCTCGCTGCTGGCCGACTTTAACCTGATCAACACACTGCAGCAGCAGCAGCAACAACAGCAGCAGCAACAACAGCAAACGGTAACGCCAACTACCTCAGAAGTATCTGCAGCCGCAATCAGTCCCGCACTCAAAGATACGCCCAGTCCCAGTGCAGATGCACCGCTCGATCTTAGCAGCAAGCCATCGCCGAACTCATCGATTAGCGGCGATGTAAAGTCCATCAGGTGAGTGCCCGAATCGGGGTTAACCTCTGACCCCTAGCCCCTCGCAGCGACGGTCTACCCACCTGGCGGTCCCTTGGCTGCATTCCAGTGCTTGGGGCAGTACCGTTGTTGCAGTATATAGCTACCTATGTACAGGCATGTACATCCAATATAAATCTGGCAATCTGCGCAAACGCCAAAAAAAATTATAAAAAACCCCAGCACAATACATAAAAAAAAGGAAATTCATGTAAAACCAAAAAGGGAGAAAAAAAAGGTGGAAATTAAGCAATTATATGACAGAATAACGAATTTGGCATGCCCTTGGTACAGAGAAAGGCTTGAAAGTTACATCATTTAATGGAGGAATAAATTGCCTTACAATATACATTACGATCATCAGGGTATAGTTAGCTTTCCTTCCCTTAGATTCTATAAAAGATTCTTACCTTAAAATAATTCCAATAAACCCAATCAGAACCATCATAAAAATCGCATCGAACCCATAACTGCCTAGGGTATAATGTGCACCAAAAAATAAATAAAAAGGATTCGCGAAAAAAAACACCGAATCGTGTGCCAGACAATACATGAGATAATTGCACTTTGGGCGCTGGCCCGCCGCCTCTGACACTGCACTTATTGTAGCATACTTAACGGGGCTGCCCCACCGCAAACACACACTCGCTGACACATACACACTCACACACACGCGTTTTTAAGATGGTGTGATGCTGTGGCAGCTGGAGCTTTATTGTTATGCGCCTATGTAAAAATTGTGCAATTATACAACTGGCTGTGTGAGTGCGGTTTTTTATGAAACGATGCCGAAAATTACACATACGCCCCGTTTGCCACGCTTAATTACCAGAGTTAGAGGCAGGTGGGCGGCATAAATTTACATGGAAATTTCCCCCAAAAAAAATAAGAGAAATGAAAAAAGATTAAGCCGAGAGAATGGTGAATTTATGTATTCCGTTTTGGGTGGCTGCATCTTAACTCCTTGAGCGGCTCCTGAGCGCAATCTTTTTTCAATCCTTTTTTTCGGTATTTTTATTGTTTTGTTGCCTGCTATTTTTTTAATTACTCTAAAATGTTCAGGAGCACCTTTTATTATTACTTGGCTATAGGTATAGGTGCAGCAGGTGTGTATGTATGGGTGTGTGCACTTCAGACGACAGAGCCTTGTTAGTGTCGGAGCTGCTCGGCGTGTGCATAATTTTCCAGCACTTCCCACAATTTTTGTCATTACTTTTTTCGGTGAGATTTTTTAGCTTTTTTATTTTGTTGTTTGCGGTACTGGTTAGGTTCGTTTTTTCTCCCTTTTTATTGGTGTGAGCTTGCGGGCGAGAGTGTGTGGCGACTGTGGCAACGATGGTGGCTGGCACTTGAGCCGCAAAGCACGAGTCCTTGTCTATTGTCTAAAGCATGGCCAAGTGTTTGTTAGCAGCCGCCATGCACCATCTCTCGTACACCTATTTTAATTGTCTCACACAAAAAAGCAAGAAAAGATGTGTCAAAAAATGTACAAACAAGAAAGGAAAGCTAACTTCGGGCGGAGCCGAAGTTTATATACCCTTGCAGTTAAAACCGGATATATATCGCAAACATCGGATATAGTTGGCCGATCCTTATGGGAATAGGAATATATACTCCAATTTATTACAATACAAAATCTAAAAAAAGTCGCAAACTTCTATCTTCAAAAATACGAAAGTTGATATTTCTACCAAATACCATTTCCGATCGTTCAGTTATATGGCAGCTATAGGATATAGTCGGCCGATCCTTATGAAATTTGGCATGTCGTAATGTTTTGCCAAAAATAGCTCTCACCTAAAATTTGAACTCTCTAACTTTAAAAATACCAAAGTTATACCATTTCCGATCAATCAGTTATATGGCAGCTATAGGATATAGTCGGCCGATCCGGGCCGTTCCGACTTATATACTGCGTGCAAAGGAAAGAAGGGTGTGTGCAAAGTTTCAAGACGATAGCTTTAAAACTGAGAGACTAGTTTGCGTAGAAACAGACAGACGGACAGACAGACAGACGGACAGACGGACAGACGGACAGACGGACATGCTCATATCAACTCAGGAGGTGATCCTGATCAAGAATATATATACTTTATAGGGTCGGAGATGTCTCCTTCACTGCGTTGCACACTTTTGGACAAAATTATAATACCCTCTGCAAGGGTATAAAAACCCCAGAGCACCCAGAAAAGAGGAAGTGGGTGTAAAAAAAAGATAGGAATCAGGAAAGTCAGGTACATACATACGAATCATGCTAGACTAGACCACATTTATCAGAAATTTTAATGAAATTAAAGAATCACAAGGATAAATGCTCAACTTTAAGAAATTCTATTGTTGGTTCGAATTTCGATGACTTTTTTTAAAATCTCACAAGACAACGATCAACTCAAGTGGTCGTCAATGGAGGGCAACCGGATGACCGGGACCCTAACCCAGCCCACCCCAAGCACTGCCACCCCTCCCTCCACCACTCGCCCCAAACTACCCCCTCAGACATCCCGCCGACCATCAAACCACTCGAAGCACAAAAGCCACTGACGCTGCAATTTTTGGAGTTTTTTTTTTTTTCGTCAAGCGTTTATTATTACAGATTTTTTTCTGGCTGCTGCCGAGAATGATGAGATGACGCCGTCGCTACTCCAAGCAGCTGCGGCGCTTACGCCGGCGTTGACGTTGACGTCGCCCAGCGCAGCAGACAAAAATGAGTGCATCATATCGATCGCTTTTTTTTGCAAGCTGCGTTTTACTTTTTGCCAATGTGTGTGTGTGTGTGTGTCAGTGTTTTTTCGTATTTTTGGTCTTTCTTCTTTGGTACTTTTTTTTCTATGCACTTTGGTTGGAGCGGGGAGGGGGGGCTAGGTTAACCGGTGGGATTGTCGCTCGGTAGATATTCATTATTTTTCGTTTACGAAATTTCCCCCCCCACGCACCACCCTCTCCTCCCCCCATTGGAAAACTGGTGAAAAAAAAGAGAAATTGCGAACGTAATAACTGGCAAAAAAAAAAAGAGTGACGACGCCGGCAGAGCAGTCGACTGCGCTTGGCCCCAAAATATACAGAACAATAAAAAATATGAAAGTGGGAGTGAAACAACAAAAAACGAACCAAATATATAAGGTGGCCCACAATAACAACAACAATAAATACTAAAACAACAACAACAGCAAAAAAAAGGTAATGCGTGCCCTGGCCATCGCCATTGTTATTGTTGCAGGGCAGCAATTTTTTAACGGTTTCATGGACTCCCCCCAGTGACCCCAGTTCGCCCCTTTTTTTCCCCATTTTTTGTCATTTCAATGAGTGTCGAATGAGCTGCTTTTTACACAGGTAAAAATTGGGTATTAAGTCCTTTATTATTTATGGATGTTAGAATTTTTAGTTAAAGCCAAAAATTAATACAACAATTTATAGTTCAAACCCTATTAAAGAGTCCTCGAGTCCTAGAGGGTCCTTTAAAGCATTTTTTCCCACTGCCTGATTGCCGTTATATGCGTGAGCAAATGAGCGAGATAGAAACAAAAAAAAAGTAAGCTCATACAAAAATTCAGCTGCAGCGCCGTCGACGTCGTCGTCGGCTGAGACGCAGGCAGCGGCAGACGACGAAAAAAATGAGTGCATATCTTCCGAAAAAATGCAACTGCAATGAATGTGTGTGTGTGTTTGGGTTGATGTATGCATAAGCGTGTGTGTGTATGTGTGAGGGCGGAGAAGGAAGGGGTTGTAGGGGGTGTGGGGTATGGAAAGGTAGGGGGTGGTGGGCTCGCTGCGCACGCATCAAGTGTAGGCGCTGTGGGGCGGACTGCATTGCCAACAAAAACAAACATGCAACTGCATTCATACCCTCGCACACACACATACACAGTCACACACACATACACTTAATGCATTTTTAACAAAATTGCATTCGACGTTGTCAACACACACACACACACATGCATTCACATGCAGGTTTGGATACACAAAAAAAAAAAAATGAGAGTTCGGAACGGGGGACAGTTGACGGCATTGTGCGCCCGTTTCTGCTTCCTGCTAGCCCCCGACTTCACCGGAATCCCCTCCCACCATTAACCCTACATTCCATTCCGCTGGTAAGGCCCCTAACCCCTACCCTGAGTCACGCCCCTGGCATATTTAGCAACCGCCAGGCACGCAACCCGAGCGAGAGACAAAAAAAATTAAAAGTCCACTAACAAGCCGAAATTTTCAAGAGGCTTAAAGTTAAAAATAAAGTTTTAAATCATAACTAGTCTAACCCTTGACTCTTAACCCTCTTTCTGGTAAGAGGCCTATAAAGTAGAATAACCAAACTTGATGACTATTTTGAATAAAACGTTTTATTAAACACATATCCCATAAAAGTTATCCCCACTCCTTTTTCCACTCAACTGGCAATTAAGCCTTTAGCTCGACCTCTGCCTTGGAATCACACCTCAATTAATGTATTTGCACAATTACCTGGCCAAATATAATTATTATTAAAGTTGGATTCAAAAAATCTGGCACCAGAATGACCAAAAAAAATTACTATAACCAATATTGCGGGAGGAGTGTTGCAAGGAGGCGTGTTTGTGTTTTTACACATATGTATACATATGTATGTGTGGCCGGGGCAAACAAAAGGTGTGGGATGAACCGACAAAAATGCAATATGCGCATAATAACAACAAGAACAACAACAACAGCAACTGCAACAGCAACAATTGCATTGGCGAAAAAAAAAGAGCGACAGTAAAAAATGCATTTCACTTGCGTCAGAATTACAAAAGCAAGAATGAGGCAAAAAATAAAAATCCGCACATACACGAAAAAATCAACCCTTTTGGCTGCCACACTGCTGCTGCCACAAATTAAAACAAAATGTCAGAAAAATTGCAACGCCAACGGAAAAAGAGGAAAAATGCTGTTTGGGGCGGGAAAGGGTTTTGGGGATTCGCTTTTTTTATTCGCTTTCCATTTTTTTATTTCGGCTGCAAATGAATGCTCTCCACATGCGTGTGCCGCAGCAGCAGCAGCAGCAACAAAAGGCTGCAAACAAATGCTGCATGCATGTTGTACATGCTGCTGCGGCAGCAAGCGCCAACTGCAGCGGCGGCAGCGAGGTGGCAGCAACGGCTGTTGCAACGGCAAATTGCAATTGAAGTGCAGCCAAAAGGTAAACGACACCAACGAAAAAATCCAAACGACATTGAAATGACATTTTTCATTTATTTTTGGGGTGGCGGTGGGTGGTTTGGGTGCTGCAGGACGTGGGAGACAGCCGGGTGGGGTTCCAGTCCTCCCCCGGGTTTTGCGCAATTATGCAAATTTTTTGTCGCTGTCCTCTTTTTTTTTTGGGAAATTATTTTGTATATGCAAAATGAGCAAAAATGCGAAAAACTGTCGCCATTAATGATGATGCCACACCGCTACGCCCCCGTCCGCCCACGGCTCAATCCACTTACGGTCAGCAAGGGCCACGCCTCCCCGCCGCCTTGCCGCCTTGCCGCCTTGCCGCCCCCATAATCCGGCACATCTTGTTCGGGCTCGGGCTTTTCCCGAAAAATAAAAAAACCGTCAGCTATCATACAGTTTAACATTCACTGCCACCTGCTGCCTCCTGCAATTTTTATTTTTCCTTCATTTTTCTCTCAGCGTTTTTGTAGTTGTTGTCTGCACAATTTTCAGACATTTTCCAGACGCGCAAGGACTTCGAAACAAATGGGCGTGGATGGGGGCCATGGGGCTGGCGAAAAAAAAAGTAAAAAGTTGCGATGACTTTGCCATCAACTTTTGCCAGGGCCGCTGCCTCCTGCTGTTGTGCATCTGCCCCGTCCCTTGTCCTCGTCCTCCTCCCCGCAGGATACAGCCCTTGGCGAAGGGCGCCGAAGAAGCTGTGCGTTTGCCCCATCTCACGTCTCACCCCTCCCTCGCAAGCCACTGACACGCCCCCTCCTTTTCGCCGGTGCAATGTCCCCAGCCGCCCACGAAAAAAAGAAAGGGTCTCGAGCTCGTCTCGTTTCTGGTTGCGCATAAAGAAAAGAAATATTTCGTGCAGCTAATGCACTGTAAGAAATGGTCAGGTGATAACAGGTATTACTACACATGGATTAACCCTACCGAAGGGACTTGGTTCTGTGCAAGAGCTGGATACTTTTCACTTGATTCTTTTCACTTGATTCCAATGATTTCACACTCAAATCGTTTTCTTTGAGTGCCTCCAAGGCGGAAAACAAAAGTTGCCTTTTCCTGACGAGCTGGAGGAAGCAGAAGGATATTCGCTTGGACTCACGCTCGCGTTGGCATTAAGTGAAAAATGTTTATTCTTTTTTTTCGCAGCGAGGAAAATGTCTTTTTTTTTCCCGTTTTTTTTTTGGCATTCGTCTAATGAACTTCAAAAACATATTCGGTCCCCAAACTCCTCCAGATCCCAGTCCATACCCGAGACCCCCTTTCAATCTCCACTCAGCCAGACTCCCCTGACTTGTCATCTTTTGTTTCTGGTGCTGCCCCGAAAAAAAGAAATGGCCACCGAAAAGTTGAGGGGCGACAAAAAAGGATATGATTGCATGCCATCCTTGGCTTTGCCTTTGACACCAGCCTCGTCTTTTCCTTGTTTTCCTCTGCCTGCTGCAGACATTTAAGAAGCACTCATTGTCAGTCCTCTTGAGTGCCCGTATCTGTGAGAGTGTGTGTAGTTGTGTGTGTGTGCGATTTGGAGAGTGCACTGGGAGAAAAATAGTGGATAGTAGCCTTTAAGATACACTCCTCTATAAGAGACTTCTCCAAAGAGCTAGCCTTCCATAAGAGATTTGAGTTTTATAAAAAATAGTTTTAAAAAAGCTTACCCCTTATTAACTCTTTATTTTAATACCCTTATTTTTCTCTGTGTTCTTATAAGAGAGTGCCGAAAAAGGAGTGCTTTCAACTAAGCCAAAAAAAAGTGGGAAGTGGCTGTCAAGTTCTTTGATGGTGCTGCCAAAAAATATTACCCTCAAAGCTGAACCCACTGACGAAAATTGCCGGCAGATAAAAGTTGATTGACTTGCTGACTGCCAGCTGTGGGACTTGGGTTGGTGGTTCTTTCAGGAAAAACCCTAAATAAATCTGAAATCTATATCTTATCATTGCACCTTGGGGATTAAAGCATACTATAATATTTAAGAGACTCTAAAATATAAACTTAAAGATAATCACAACACCAATAAACTAAATAAATATTATCTCTTTGCAGAACCTGTGCCACGCCCACGCCAGGTGGACGAGGGGCGTATAGCGAGGAGGACCTGAGTCGGGCGCTGCAGGACGTGGTGGCCAACAAGCTGGGAAACCGGAAAGCGGGCCACGTGCCGCGCTCTCTCGTGGTCGAACGTCTGTTCAAGATGCAGCAAGATCTAGACCAATCCGATCCGGATCTTGGGGCAGAGGACCAGGACGCGGGGGATTCCAACGACGACGGCGAGGCGGACGTTGACAGCAATGCCTCCACGCCGGCGGCAGCCTATCCCCCAGACTTTGTACAACTGCGAAAGTATTCGGAGCACAACGGCAGCGATCTGGGAGACGATCAGGACCCGCGGGGTTCGCCCAAAATGGGTCGACTGCCAGGTAACAACAGTGTCTCATCAGGTGGGGGAGGGACAGCAGGCGCTGGCGGTGGAATGCCAGCGATGCCTGCTATAGACGCCAATGTCCTGCTGCACACACTGGTCCTGGCCGCCGGGATCGGAGCCATGCCCAAGCTGGATGAGACGCAGACGGTCGGCGAGGTGATCAAGAACCTGGTTATGGCCAATAGCGGAGGAGCCGGAGCGATTATGAACGACGCCCTGCTGAATCTGCTGGCCGCCAACCAGGAGAGCAATGGAAGTGGCTCCTTGCTGCAGCAACAACAGCAGCAGCAACATGTTGCCGCCGCCTTCAGACACCGCCTGCCGAAATCTGAGACGCCGGAAACGAGCTCCTCGCTGGACGCCAATGAAGCCAACGAGGATCCCATTCTGAAGATTCCGTCCTTCAAGGTCAGCGGACCGGGTCTCTCGCCGCTGAACAACAACAACAACAGCATCGGCAGCAACAACAACATCAGCAACAACAACCGCAACGGCAGCAACCGCAGTCCCCACTCAGCATCGCCTATGCTGGCGGCGGCCGTTGCCCAGGGATCCGCGGGAGGCGGAGGCTATGGCCTCGGCAGCTCCTCGTCGAGCATCCAGAAGATGATGGCCAGCAACATCCAGCGACAGATCAACGAGAACCGGGTCCAGGAGCAGGAGTCCCTGCGGAACGGAAACTCCTCCGACTGCAGCTCGAACAACGGCAGCTCCACGAGCGGCTACAAGAAGCCGAGCATATCGGTGGCCAAAATCATCGGCGGCACGGACACCTCGCGGTTCGGAGCTTCGCCAAACCTGCTCTCCCAGGCGCATCACCACCACCCGGCCGGTGGACATCACCTGAGCCACCACCAGCAACAACAGCTGAGCGCCCAAGAAGCAGCCGCCCTGGCGGCGGGCAAGGGCACCCGACCCAAGCGGGGCAAGTACCGCAATTACGACCGCGACAGCCTGGTGGAGGCGGTGAAGGCGGTACAGCGCGGCGAGATGTCCGTGCACCGGGCGGGCAGCTATTACGGAGTACCCCACTCCACGCTGGAGTACAAGGTCAAAGAGCGGCACCTGATGCGCCCCCGAAAGCGGGAGCCAAAGCCACAGCCAGACCTAGTAGGTCTGACCGGACCGGCCAACAAGCTGCACCTGGACAAGCTGAAGCCAGGCAACTCCAAGCTGAGCAACGCCCTGAAGAACAACACCCAGGCAGCAGCTGCAGCGGCGGCGGCGGCAGCAGCGGCTGCGGCTGGCACGCCCAATGGCCTCAAGCTGCCAGCCCTCTTCGAGGGCGCCACTCCGCAGCTGCCCTTTCAGTCGAATATGTTCTGGCCCCAGCCGAATGCCACTGGTGCTTACGGCCTGGACTTCAACCGGATGGCGGAGGCCATGCGGAATCCGCAGCACAACGGGCCGATGAAGAGCGCCCTGGAGATGACGGAGAACATGTACGACGGCATCATCCGAAAGTCCCTGCAGGCCAGCGGAGCGGCGGCGACCGCCAATGGGAGTTCCGTGGCGGGCAACGGGAACACCAATGGCCACGCCCTGCTGGACCAGCTTCTGGTGAAGAAGACGCCCTTGCCGTTCACCAACCACCGGAGCAACGACTACGCCGCCACCTGTTCCAGCGCCAGCGGAGAGAGCGTCAAGCGGTCGGGGAGTCCCCTGGGCGGAGCGGGCGGCTATCCGGACATCAAAAGGGAGCGGTTGAGCGCCGACAGTGGCGGCAGCAGCGACGAGGAGCACATAAACCTCAACAACAACAGCGACCTGGCGCACAATAAGAACAAGGGCTCCAGCTCCTTTTCCGGAAACGGCAATGGCAATGGCGCCGGAAACGGAAATGGCCAGGCCACCTCCAACGGCAATGGCCGGAGCAGCCGGATGACCTCCCGGGACTCGGAAACGGATGTCTCCAGCCTGAAGAGCGAGCATAGCCACCACAAACTCATGGATCTCAATGGCGGCGGGGGCGGTGGCAGCAACAGTCACATCAAGTGCGAAGCGGAAGCGGAAATGGGCAGACCGGAAAGCGGCGGCGGTGGCCACGCTCCCTCCTCTATTCTGCACGAGAAGCTGGCGCAGATCAAGGCCGAGCAGGATCAGTTATAGGATCAGCCGACGTTCGCCTGGCCACCGCTGGCCACCCACTACTACAGCTTCTAGGGAACGGAGGACGACTGTCAGGATAGACGAATGCCGGATAGCAGCAGGATAGCAGGATAAACCAAATTAAGCCACTTCTTTTGATAGTACACTATATAGAGTATATATATAGTTATGTGTATGCAGGCCAGCCGATCGAGTGGCGAGTGTGCGCTAGCTCTTAGTTAATGTGTAATCAACTAAAAAAAAAAAAAGAAAACAAAAAACAGACATTTATGTGTGCCCCCCGGCGTATGCAATGTTTTGGGTATTCACCAGCGGCGATTCGATAATATTCGACTATCCAGGATCTAGGTCTATCGGGGCTGGTGAATAGCCAATATATTCTTGTTTCGTTTTGACAATCGACAAATAGGCATTCTCTTGTACAAACTTTCTTAAAAACAAAAACAAAATACTGAAACTAAAAACAAAACAAAAAGCAAAACAAAACTAAAACCTTAAGACCAAAACTGAGCAAGAACCGTTTTCAATTTTTGCATTTTGTTTCGTTAATTTAATTGAAGAACAAAAAACCAACAGCAGACCCCCCAGGGCCTGCTATAGTATACATATAGCCGAAACAGAAATCAGAAAATAATACAGCCAACAAGCAAATCAGTCCAAACAGCAGCAGTCAATCGAACAGCCAACTTAATCGGCGTCTGTGAGGGTCGGTCGTGTCTCTGGGCCCGGGCTTTGAGCTTTCTCACATTCCATAAGCGTATCTAGATGTACTTATGTTCTCCATACATTCTCCATATTTTTTTCTACGACTTTCTAAGGCGCAGTGCGCAGCTCAGCCCAAAAATGGCCAAGACCTCCGGCCTCTCAGACGCCTGTGACATAGACAGAATAATGAGTAAAGCCAACAACTACAATAACAATACAACAAAGACCATAAACAGCAACAAACAACAACAACAACATCAGCAATATCCGATCAATAACAACAACAACAACCAGCAATAAGCAATAATAATACAAGAAATCTACAATAAAAAAAATAACAAACACACACCAAACCACCAAAAAATAGCAAAATTCAAAAGTTAAATCGAAAATCGAAAGAGATACAAAATTAACCACAAAAATGCAACCTTTATTTTGCTTTTGAGTTAGAGAGTTAAAAAACGAAAATGCAACAAAAATATTAACAAAAACGGAAATCAATAAACAAAGCTGCCTTCACATTTACAAATTAAATAAATTAATAAGAAAAGCGAGCGAGCGCGGAACGTTAGGAAAGAGCACACAAAATAATAATCCAAAGGAAACGCAAACAAATCGCAGAGAATACAATATACGATTATATCCTTATTCAAATTCAAAAACAAAATTAAATCTCTTAAACACACACTCCCTTTTTTCTAGCCCTCTTCCAAAAATATTCAAATATTAAGCTAAATTAAAATGTTTCGGTGTTTCAAAAAAAAAATACAAAAAATATAAAAAAAATTAATATTGTCTATGTTTAGGCTTTAAAATTGAAATTAAGATTGAAAAATTGATCGATTTTGGCTTAAAAGTAAAGAAATTATTGTGAGAAAGCACACATTTCATGTACAGTCGCCTATCCACCAAAAAAATGAAATCAAAGCATAAATATATAAAGACTTTATATTACTATATACTATATGGATATATATTTGTACTATATATTTATGTATGTGTGTGTCTTCATCACTACGCGTATACCTCAACCAGAACACATGATCATTTTGAGCAACTAAAAACATATATATTTAACGTACTTATACACTCTACACCCTCTTTAGGCCCTCTTTCGACGTGTCCACCAAGTATTTGGTTCTATCTATGGTTAAAACACACACACATCTACTGAATGTCTGCGTAATGAAAAATAGATGAAAAATATATAAATGTACCTAAAACATATTTTGTGTGCTAGCTAGTAAGTGTCAAAAGTGAAACATACAAAAACGATATACAATATATTTAAAAAGAAAAAAAGAAGCGAAAAAGAAACAAGGAAAATTGGTAATATGTGAAAATATTTAGTGAATTATAATACAGCTAAAAAATTGAAGATATTTCAGCGGTGATTGTCCGCCAAGACGGAGAAGGAGGTCATTATTAAATACTATTTATCAAAATTATTATAATTTCCACGCGGCAAGTGGATACCAAAAATACACTATTTATTGGCTAATCTCCCAAAATTACATTTGATGTGCGTAAATGTTGTGGTTTAGTATCAAAATTCCAAAATACATGGAAAGCAAAATTAAACGTTAAGGCTTAAAATATAAAATTAATTCATTAACTTATGCATTTGATATAAAAACAAAATCAAATATTCTGCAAAGCAAAAGGATTTAAAAGAAAAAAATGTTTATTATATGAAAAATAATCGGGGAAAAAGCAAAAGGAAGAAAAGGATGAATGGAAATAAATCAAAAAAGTATTTATTGCTAATTTAATTATATTTGAAGTATACATACATATTTATTATATATACATACATATATATTAGACACACTATCTGTGATTAATAATCCAAAATTTTGAAGAGCATTTTCTGAAATAATGTTGGCTAGGCATATGCAAAAGACAAGAAACAAATCCATTCAAACTGGAAATGAATTGATTAAATTGATTAAAGATTAATGGATAAACGAGACACACCCACACTCACACACACACATGTAAAGAAATTGTAGACAGATCGGATCGGTTCACAAAACCAAACTAAACCAAGCACAAGGAGGGGCCAACTCGAAACCGAAATCCTCGAGGGCCCCTCAGCTGCACTTGGCCAGAAGAATTTCTTAAGCTACGGCACACATCACTAAAACTAAAACAAACAAAAAATAACAAAATTAAAACAAAAATAAAATTTAGAAGTACAGACAACAAAACGATGATACTGTTCAGAACATATATAGTTGTATATATTTTGGAATAATGTTTACTCAAAAACCGAAAAAGGGTATCCAGTTCAAGTCAAAATTAAGCGATTTGCAAAACGGAAAACATAAGATTAAAAGAGAGTCTTTTGTAATGCAAAATTATACAAAACTAAATCACGATTAAAGTTTCGCAACGTCTAAAAAAGAATCCAAAAAATCTAAATGATATATCGATGTAAAAAAGTAAAGAAAATCAAACCTAAAATAATAAAAAAGATAAAGTGCAATTATACGGTTTAAATAAGCAAATTTAAGAAAAAGAAACGTTATTAAGACAAATATGTTAAAATAAAAGCTAAAAGTCATTTGTAAAAAGGAAAATTCGAGAAACTGTTTCGAGAAGCAAGTTTAGCAAAAAAAAATTCCAAGGCAACTCAAAATATTGACGGAAAAAACACGATAAACAGACTAAACAGCAAGGGGATACAGGGCCTTTCAGAGACGAAGGAGCTGAAACGCCCTGGACCTCTGGCGCCCACAGCCCTCTTTCATAAGAGATCTAAAATCTCCCAGATATAGGGATACATAGGTGAAAACCTAATTAAACAACAACAAGAAACTGCAGCAACCAAGTCGAAAGTCAAAATGTCAACCTAGTGGTAGGTCTAAACAAAAAACAAAACAAAAAACAAAACCAATCGAGTGTAATTGAGTAACAGCTTGAGAATGTTGAATTGTATAGAATTTTTGCGTGTCCACCTGGCCAATTGGAGCCAGAACCTGGCCAATATCAGTTCGGGGTGGGCACGCGAAAACGCTCAGGTACGTGTTTTATTTTTCGGAGAGAAACAAGATTGATTACCCATACATTACTTATTCTTTGTTTACTACAACATAATAGTTAATATTTGTATAAAACGCGATGAAAACAAGAAACCAACAAGCTTAAATTGATATATTAATAATGTAATTGTTTAAAATGATTTAACGGAGCGAGGAGGAGATCGAGAGAGTTTCTAGCGTGCTTAATGAAATTGCTCACACTTGTGTATAAAATCTAATTTGTTCAATGCGAATCAAAATTTGCTGAATATAAGTGCATATACGTGTAATTAGTGATTATTTTCGAGTTTAGTTTAGCGCATAAACGATTAGATTACTATGATTACCATTAATTATGATCTAACCGTAGGCGAATCCAAATTTCTTCACATAAATCAATCACTCTACTTTCAAATATTATGTAGCCACTAAAATAATTATTATTCTACTATTAAACGACTAAATATGTATGTACATTTAGCGCGTTGTTAGCCTCGATTTATGGTTTGTAAATATTAGACAACATTCATTTAACGCAGTGGTATTCTCCTCCATTTTATATTATCGAATAGGTTATTATCCTCTATTTTACTTTCTTAAATGGGCAAAATAATTTGAACTATAGTGCAATTGTTTCAAACAAAACCAAGCAACCAACAACAAATATATTAACATTAACGATTAATATAATTTACAAGCTTTCTTTGCCAATGCCAAGAAGGACGAACCACGCATATATAATTTCATATATATGCGGGTCTATCGCATGAATCGAAAATCAAAAATCATTTTAAGTGCACATAACTCTTTTTACGTAGAACTTAACTACTCCTAGGTTTCCCATTATTATGCGCACGCTTCTGCCTCTAAATTAAAGCCAATTAAAGCCAAATTCTTCACATTCTCACTCAGTTCAGTTCAGTTCTGTTAAAAAAAAAAACATCACAAGCCAGAAAATGCAACTCAAAACTTTTCTCCTATGTTCAAGACTTGAGCGAAGGAAACATCCTCCAGGATCAGCAAAGATCTAAAGCGAAAACTGCTAAGAAACAATAGCCCAGACGCGACAACCAGCACCGACAAAAACCAACAACAACAAACCAACAATAGCCCAAAAATAATTGAACTAAAAATTGAAAAAAAAAAAATATAAATACTTATAATAACAAAAAACTAACATAATAAATGTATACTTGAAAATATTCAAACGATAAGAGTTTGAAGCTCAGATACAAACCAAACAGCCTAAGGTCGATTGTACTTTTCTTTTTTCTATATCCACAAATACAACCAACAACAACCAGCAACCACAACAGCAGCAACCACAATTTTATTAAACAATAGTACTAATCTTACTACAGAACTTAAATAGCCACAAATAAATAGAAATAGCCACAGCAATTAACTTTAACAAGAGTCCCCGCGAACACAGATACAAGACACACGACAGTTTTTTCAAAACAGATTTGTATTCATAGCCATATAACCGATACAATAGCCACGTATATAGAGAGTCGTCGATTATAGCCAGCAATAGAATCAGTCTAAAGTCCAGGATCCACAAATTATAGTTCAGAAATCAGAAACCAGAATAAAGAAAAAAGAAATCGAACTGCAAGGCAAAAAAATAAATATATCAATTGAAAAAGAAAATATAATGACAAACAATTTTTATTTCAATTATTAAATATTAAAAAACACACCAACAACCACTCCACACAGTTACAGTTACAACCACAACAACAATAGCCCTAGAAAAATAATATTCATAATTAATCAATCAATCAATCAGTAAACAAAGAACTTCAATAGATGTAAGCAATTGGCGAAAACAAAAACAGAGAAACTTAAATCTTAGCCAGGCAAGAGTTTTGAGAATATTTTCCATTATTTTTACAACAACAAACAAACTGATGTAAGTACAATTTATAAATTTAGACTTTTTGGTAAACTAAACTAAAACAAAAACTAAAACCTACAGATCCAAAACATAGCAGTTCTTTTGCATTTAAGTAATTACTGCAAAATTCGAAGAAAACAAGTGTAACATTTTTTTGAGTGACGAAAAAACGAAAGCAAAAAGCCAATAAGCATATGAGAAAATTCGCATTATTATTAGCAATAGCCCATAAGTACAGAAGTGTTTTAGCCATAAGGCCGAAACAGAAACAGAGATTTAAAAGAAAAAAAAACTAAACAGAAAGTGAAGAAAAAAACCTAATCTGCAGAAAAACATGTGAAACTTATTTTGTTCTGCTTTCAAATATAAATCCAAAATATGTATGTTAATTTGATAAGTAATTTATAAACGTAATGGAGTTTCGCTTAATATGATTTACACAAAAGTACATTTAACGCATATATTCTAAACCTTAAATTAATGTAAACCGTTAACAAAGGCAACCGAAAACATAGGTTTTGTTTAGAAGAGCGTGCATAATTGTTATTAAATATACACAGAAACACACACATAACTAGTTTAAGTTGATAATTTTCGTTATTCTTATTATTTACTTATTATGTTTTAAACGCAAAACAACAAGATATATACAATATATTTACGGATTAAACGTTTATTAATAAAACAAAATATTTTAGTTAAATTTTGTTTGTTTTTATTTTGACTTCATCACCGCAGGAGGCTTTCTGTTCACACACCCCCAACATCCCGATAAAAAAACGCAGAACTTAAGATGGAAAATATGAATATTAAACTAAGCACATTCTAACGATTGCAACAGATATTAAATACCATTATATGCAATAGTTATAATTGACAGACAACAGAATTAATCTATAAACTGAACAATAGCCCAAAGTAAATATTGGCCCTGATAGGCGCCTGGAGCCAGTCCCTGGGTCTTCTAACACGGCCAATATTTGCTCCATTTTCACATGCAAGATTGCAATACCAATTGGCACTCAACAGATGCAACCAACAACAACAATAATAATAGTTATAAAAAACAAGAACAAGAGGAAAAAAATGCAATTGAAACTTTTAATTTACGGTTTTTGGTTTTTTACTTTTTACTTAAGTTGACTCTCATGACTTTCGGGAATTGTTTTTCGGCTCGAACCCACTTAACACTTTTGGACAATTCCGAACCAAAATCAATAATGGCCGAAACTACTACCGACGAGCCAAAGGAATCGTATATCTAAACTCAACACAGCTTCAGGGACCAAACTAAAGGATGATTTAAGGAAAAATTAAATAACCAAGCACTGGTAAACAAATGTAACCACAAGGCATACAAAAAGTATCAAAATGAAGACAAAAATTCAACAACAGATTCGAGGCATATCTAAAAACCGAATAAAGAGCGTCAAAATTGAAAAATTAATTCAGAAAATTGAAAAATCTAGGGAATGAAACTATGTGTAAATTATGTGAACCACAAAATCGTATATGTATATAACAAAAAAGAAACAGCAAACCTTTTGGTAATCCATATACATATATTATATATTTAGCGTGTCAAAAATAAATCTAAAGGATCAAAAACTTAAGGAAATTAAAAAAAAAATACTTTTGGCAAAAGTAATTTGGGTGAATTCGGAATAAATATTTGTAAGGAAAAATGTATACGATATGACGATATGCAAAGAAAATTTACTAAATACTGGTTTAAATGTAAAGAAACCCAAAGGAAAACACCGAAATTTGAATGAAAAAAAAATTGATGGAAGCCCATTATTTAATTTGGTGTAAACTTTTTTGTAAATAATGAAATCGATCGGATGTGGAATATCTTTGTGGACACATCCGGAGAGCTAAGTGGGATTTTCTACCAATTAAACACAAAGAAGGGAATAAACCATAACGTAAATTCAAATTAGCAAAATTTTTGTCAAAACGAAAAATAAAAAAAAGAAATTACCTAGTAAATGCTAAATTCAAATTTATAGTACATATTTGTATATGTATGAGTGTATTGCATAAGTTCGATGTGAGTGTATAACAAATTATTATTAAAATTATGCTTACCTCTTTCGTTTAAACGTTATTTTGTTTGTCTAAAATCGACAATGAATGCCGGCCAAAAGGGCCGAATTCCAATTGCAAGAAGTTAACCAAAACGAGTCAAGAACATTACCAAAATACCAAAAAGAATCTTTCGAACCAACTTAAGTGTATGGGAAAAGCATTGTAAAAAAGTATAAAATCAAACCAGTTGGGAAAGCGAGATTACGGATCAAAAATTGCTAAATCAAGAGCTAGGATTTGTGTATATGTGAGGAGATTGAACAAAAATAGCAGGTATACAATAATGGCAGATACAAACACACAGAAAACAGAAACTAAAGAACAACTTGCAAAAAAGACAGAGGAATACAAACCCCAAACAAAACTATTACTTGTAATGATGTGAACTTGGAGCATACTCTCAGTATTTTTATGAATACTGTCAATAAAAAATAAATAAAAACTTTACACCCCATTGTTTCATTTCCGCTTGGGAGTAGCCCTTTCTAGTGTTGTCAGAGACTTCGGTGTATTGAAATGTAACTGGCAGTTGCCACACGAACGTAGGTTTCCATTCGGACAGATACTCAATGGTTTTATAAAGTTAAAAGTATAAAAACCCAAAAAAAAAGAATAAAATAAAAAATTAGTAGATTGGTCCAGAGACACGCGAACAAAATTCGGAAATTTCTAAAATGACCATCCAAAGACTGAAGTGCGACCTTAGCCCCGAGCTAACAACCTGCCTGAAACTAAAGGATGCAGTGCGTCCCGACTGTTGTCGCGTCGCAGACCCCATTCCCTACGATGGCGAGTGCTTTGTGCGAGACATTGGCAAGGAGCTGGAGAAGCTTAGCCGGCGCCACGAGCGGATGTTCGTGAAGCGGCGCCGCCTGATGGAGATGGCAGTTCCCAACCGTCGCACCTGCCGCTTCGTGCCCAAGTGCGCCTGCCTCTTCAGCAAAACGATCGAGATGGTGCGCCCCTGCGACGCCCAGTCCCACACCCGCACCGAGCAGCTTGCCCTGCCCCCTGTCCGCCGGCTGCTCCAGCGGCGTCGGGCGGCTGTCCACAACGGGGACAAGATCGGCGAATCGATCCTCAACCGGTGGCTTCGCTACAGCTACATGTCCCTGTACAGTCGGCTGGCCAACATCCAACCGCTTACCAAGCCGTATGTTTATCATTTATTTTATTATTTAATTTACTTAATTTTTTATTTAAAATTAACAGTAAAAAGAAGAAGAAGAAGTCGGAAAAGGTACTGGCAAAGCACGACCAATATATTCAAAAGTTGGCCAATCCAAAAAAGGTGCCGTCGCCACCGAAACCAGTAAGTGTAGTTTGGGATTCCACTGTATAAAAATCTGTTAACCCAAAATCCTGCAAATCATCAGGAGCGCAAGACGGGCACGAGCGATCGAGCCCGATTGAAGAAGCTCTCGACCCCGAGGGCTTTCCACGAGGAGGTGAAGCGCAATTGGGAGCTTACCCCCGAGATGAAGAACTACAAGGCCTCGAAGCGGCTGAATGAGATTTCCCAGCCAGTTCAACGGGAGAACGTTCACATAAACGAATCTCCGGAGAAGGTGTCCCCGAACGCCCTCAAATACAAACGTGAGTATCCCGGCCAGTATACTTTACGAGGTAGAGTAGATAATGACTTTGATTAACCCACAGCGAGTGCCAGGATCAAGGAGATGTCCGAGCCGCTCACCACACGCGATGCCAACCAGGGACTGGCAGACGTCAAAGAGAATCCCTTCGGCATTGCCCCGAATGCTCTCAAGTACAAGCCCACCAATCGCATCAAGGAGCTGGCGGAGCCCAAAGAGTTTGAGAACACGCACATCCGGGAGAATCCGTTCGCCATCTCCCCGGCGGCTCTTAAGGCCAAGGCCTCGCCGCGCCTCATCGAACTGGCCAAGCCCAAGGGCGGATAGTGTGGAGGTGGACCCTGAAGATGTGGTCACAGTCCCTTCCCGTGTCCATGCACTCACGTACTGTTTTTTGGCAATTTGGTTACTTAAGATTAGCGTTTTTCTTTCGGCCTTGTTTGGTTTCACGTTTCTTAATAAATTTTTAGTAAAAACGTCTTATTTTCTTGAGGGCGTGCGACTTCTAAATCTATGGACTCCATCTTCTTAACATATTAAAGCAATGTTTTGGATAAGAAAAGAGGCTTCCTGGAAAAAATTCGAAAAATTTCAAAACGATATTTAACCAATGTTTTGAATAAGGAAAGTAGCTGCTGGGTTTGCCATCGGAAGGAGCAAAAGTGGGGAAATTGGAAAATCCCACAATTTTATGGGGGTACCCCTTGAAAAAAATCGAAAAATTAGGAAAACGAGAAGGTCGCTGTTTTTTAAAATTAAATAAAAAATTCTGGACTTACCCTGGACTGGTCTTCTCCGGCCGCTGGAGGATGATGGGCAAGTCATGCCGGTTCCGTCGTTGCCGCCACTGGGTCGAATTGCATCTGATGGGATGACGTGGATGTAAGATGCCCTCTTCCAGATCAGGGCAAAAGTTCAAGGTTCAAGTGAGCCAATTGCTCCAGTCTAGTCCCAAGAAACTCCAACCTTCAAGAGTTTTTTCCCTGGAAAAAATCAAAAAATTAGGAAAACTAGGAGGGCGCTGTTTTTATACCCTTGCAGAGGGTATTATAATTTTGTCCAAAAGTGTGCAACGCAGTGAAGGAGACATCTCCGACCCTATAAAGTATATATATTCTTGATCAGGATCACCTCCTGAGTTGATATGAGCATGTCCGTCTGTCCGTCTGTCCGTCTGTCCGTCTGTCTGTCTGTCTGTCCGTTTCTACGCGAACTAGTCTCTCAGTTTTGAAGCTATCGTCTTGAAACTTTGCACACACCCTTCTTTCCTTTGCACGCAGTATATAAGTCGGAACGGCCGGGATCGGCCGACTATATCCTATAGCTGCCATATAACTGATTGATCGGAAATGGTATAACTTTGGTGTTTTTAAAGTTAGAGAGTTCAAATTTGACACGAGAGCTATTTTTGGCAAACCATTACGACATGCCAAATTTCATAAGGATCGGCCGACTATATCTTATAGCTGCCATATAACTGAACGATCGGAAATGACCCAACTTTCGTGTTTTTAAAGATAGAAAGCTGAAACTTGGTACAGATTATATTTTTGGCCTGTCGATCCAACCTACCAAATTTCATTAGGATCGGCCGACTATATCCTATAGCTGCCATATAACTGAACTATCGGAAATGGTACTTGGTAGAAATACCAACTTTCGTATTTTTGAAGATAGAAGTTTGGGACTTTTTTTAGATTTTTTATTTTAGTTAATTAGTTTTAATGTGATGTAATCATAAGGATCGGCCCACTATATCCGATGTTTGCGATATATATCCGGTTTTAACTGCAAGGGTATATAAACTTCGGCTCCGCCCGAAGTTAGCTTTGCTTTCTTGTTTAAAATTAAATAATAAATTCTGGACTTACCCTGGACTGGTGTTCTCCGGCCGCTGGATGATGGGCAAGCCATGCCGGTTCCGTCGTTAACGCCACTGGGTCGAATTGCATCCGATGGGATGACGTGGCTGTAAGATGCCCTCTTCCAGATTAGGGCCAAGGTTCGGGTGAGCCAGTTGCTCCAGTCTAATCCACAGAAACTCCTTTCTCCAGTTCTGGATCCTCCAAAAAACTTCGTGCCTTCCTCCAGATGCAGTGCATCCTTCTCGAGGGGATGGGGCAGCTCCTCCTGGGCCTCTGGCACCTCCACGCCAAACCTCCTCTTGGCTCCTGGTCCGCCGGCTTTTTAAAGCCGGCAAAGTTGAACTAATTTTTGGCGCTTTTTGCCGGCGCTTAGGTGCTACCTATGAGAATCGAGGAGGAGGGGGCTGTTTTTTTAAATTAAATAATTAATAAAATTAAATTTAAAAATTTAATCCGATGGGATGACGTGGCTTTAAGATGCACCTCTTCCAGATCAGGGCCAAGGTTCGGATGAGCCAGTTGCTCTAGTCTAGTCCCCAGAAACTCCATCCTCCAAGAAGCTTGGTGCCTCTTCCTCCAGATCCAGTGCATCCTTCTCGGGAGGATGGGGCAGCTCTTTCTAAGCCTCTGGCACTTTCAGGCCAAGTTTCCTGATCGGGTTCCGGATCAGGTACATCCTCATTGGTGTCGCCACTGGGTCGAATTGCATCCGATGGGATGACGTGGCTGTAAGATGCCCTCTTCCAGATGAGGGCAAGGTTCGGGTGAGCCAGTTGCTCCAGTCTAGTCCACAGAAACTCCTTCCTCCATTTCTGGATCCTCCAAAAAACTTGGTGCCTTCCTCCAGATGCAGTGCATCCTTCTCGAGGGGATGGGGCAGCTCCTCCTGGGCCTCTGGCACCTCCACGCCAAACCTCCTCTTGGCTCCTGGTCCGCCGGCTTTTTAAAGCCGGCAAAGTTGAACTAATTTTTGGCGCTTTTTGCCGGCGCTTAGGTGCTACCTATGAGAATCGAGGAGGAGGGGGCTGTTTTTTTAAATTAAATAATTAATAAAATTAAATTTAAAAATTTAATCCGATGGGATGACGTGGCTTTAAGATGCACCTCTTCCAGATCAGGGCCAAGGTTCGGATGAGCCAGTTGCTCTAGTCTAGTCCCCAGAAACTCCATCCTCCAAGAAGCTTGGTGCCTCTTCCTCCAGATCCAGTGCATCCTTCTCGGGAGGATGGGGCAGCTCTTTCTAAGCCTCTGGCACTTTCAGGCCAAGTTTCCTGATCGGGTTCCGGATCGGGTGCATCCTCGTTGGTGTCGCCACTGGTTCGAATTGCATCCGATGGTATGACGTGGCTGTAAGATGCCCTCTTCCAGATGAGGGCCAAGGTTCGGGTGAGCCAGTTGCTCCAGTCTAGTCCACAGAAACTCCTTCCTCCAGTTCTGGATCCTCCAAAAAACTTGGTGCCTTCCTCCAGATGCAGTGCATCCTTCTCGAGAGGATGGGGCAGCTCCTCCTGGGCCTCTGGCGCTTTCAGGCCAAGTTTCCTGATCGGGTTCCGGATCGGGTGCATCCTCGTTGGTGTCGCCACTGGGTCGAATGGCATCCGATGGGATGACGTGGCTATAAGATGCCCTCTTCCAGATCAGGGCCAAGGTTCGGGTGAGCCAGTTGCTCCAGTCTAATCCACAGAAACTCCTTTCTCCAGTTCTGGATCCTCCAAAAAACTTGGTGCCTTCCTCCAGATGCAGTGCATCCTTCTCGAGGGGATGGGGCAGCTCCTCCTGGGCCTCTGGCGCTTTCAGGCCAAGTTTCCTGATCGGGTTCCGGATCGGGTGCATCCTTGTTGGTGTCGCCACTGGGTCGAATGGCATCCGATGGGATGACGTGGCTGTAAGATGCCCTCTTCCAGATTAGGGCCAAGGTTCGCGTGAGCCAGTTGCTCCAGTCTAGTCCACAGAAACTCCTTCCTCCAGTTCTGGATCCTCCAAAAAACTTCGTGCCTTCCTCCAGATGCAGTGCATCCTTCTCGAGGGGATGGGGCAGCTCCTCCTGGGCCTCTGGCACCTTCACGCCAAACCTCCTCTTGGCTCCTGGTCCGCCGGCTTTTTAAAGCCGGCAAAGTCGAACTAATTTTTGGCGCTTTTTGCCGGCGCTTAGGTGCTACCTATGAGAATCGAGGAGGAGGGGGCTGTTTTTTTAAATTAAATAATTAATAAAATTAAATTAATAATAAAATTAAATTTAAAAATTTAATCCGATGGGATGACGTGGCTTTAAGATGCACCTCTTCCAGATCAGGGCCAAGGTTCGGATGAGCCAGTTGCTCTAGTCTAGTCCCCAGAAACTCCATCCTCCAAGAAGCTTGGTGCCTCTTCCTCCAGATCCAGTGCATCCTTCTCGGGAGGATGGGGCAGCTCTTTCTAAGCCTCTGGCACTTTCAGGCCAAGTTTCCTGATCGGGTTCCGGATCAGGTACATCCTCATTGGTGTCGCCACTGGGTCGAATTGCATCCGATGGGATGACGTGGCTGTAAGATGCCCTCTTCCAGATGAGGGCAAGGTTCGGGTGAGCCAGTTGCTCCAGTCTAGTCCACAGAAACTCCTTCCTCCATTTCTGGATCCTCCAAAAAACTTGGTGCCTTCCTCCAGATGCAGTGCATCCTTCTCGAAAGGATGGGGCAGCTCCTCCTGGGCCTCTGGCGCTTTCAGGCCAAGTTTCCTGATCGGGTGCATCCTCGTTGGTGTCGCCACTGGGTCGAATGGCATCCGATGGGATGACGTGGCTGTAAGATGCCCTCTTCCAGATTAGGGCCAAGGTTCGGGTGAGCCAGTTGCTCCAGTCTAGTCCACAGAAACTCCTTCCTCCAGTTCTGGATCCTCCAAAAAACTTGGTGCCTCTTCCTCCAGATCCAGTGTATCCTTCTCGAGAGGATGGGGCAGCTCCTCCTGGACATCTGGCACCTCCACGCCAAACCTCCTCTTGGCTCTTGGTCCGCCGGCTTTTTAAAGCCGGCAAAGTCGAACTAATTTTTGGCGCTTTTTGCCGGCGCTTAGGTGCTACCTATGAGAATCGAGGAGGAGGGGGCTGTTTTTTTAAATTAAATAATTAATAAAATTAAATTTAAAAATTTAATCCGATGGGATGACGTGGCTTTAAGATGCACCTCTTCCAGATCAGGGCCAAGGTTCGGATGAGCCAGTTGCTCTAGTCTAGTCCCCAGAAACTCCATCCTCCAAGAAGCTTGGTGCCTCTTCCTCCAGATCCAGTGCATCCTTCTCGGGAGGATGGGGCAGCTCTTTCTAAGCCTCTGGCACTTTCAGGCCAAGTTTCCTGATCGGGTTCCGGATCAGGTACATCCTCATTGGTGTCGCCACTGGGTCGAATTGCATCCGATGGGATGACGTGGCTGTAAGATGCCCTCTTCCAGATCAGGGCCAAGGTTCGGGTAAGCCAGTTGCTCCAGTCTAGTCCACAGAAACTCCTTCCTCCAGTTCTGAATCCTCCAAAAAACTTGTTGCCTTCCTTCAGATGCAGTTCATCCTTCTCGAGAGGATGGGGCAGCTCCTCCTGGGCCTCTGGCGCTTTCAGGCCAAGTTTCCTGATCGGGTGCATCCT